AGACATTTATATCACCTCAATTGAATATCGGATGAAGAAATGGGCACATCATAAATCTTGCCAAAAAATCTGTCACGGCAGCATGGGTTTTACATTTTATGTTGCAACATGAAATAATTTTATGCTGCAGTGTATTTTGCCAGAATCCTTTTTTAATCTTTTAACCCCGACCCAATGTCATCTTACCTTGTATGATGTTCATTCTTTAGTATATAGGTCTTGCTCTGATTTTAATTTATAAAACAATTTTATAATATTTTAAGTTTTGAAAATGTGGAATCCCATTTATGTAAAGTTTACAAACTTGATAATTTATCTAGGTTAGTCTTATAATTACTTCAATTTTGGAGTTAATTAGTAAGAAAGATCTTACACTTAGGGACTTTGACTGTGATTTTTGAATTTTATGAAACTTATTTATAAATAAATCTACTTGATAGGACCTATATCTAATTTTTCCTTAGGACTAAAATTTTAATGCTTGCAGGATAGTTAATGGAGAATTCTTTCCCAAAAAAAAATGCTAAATATGAATGAATAAACCTTTGCAATGATGGGGCAGAGCCCTCTTTGTTCAGATTTTGACTTTAAATATAGAGCAGTCAATTGTATTTGCAAACGAAAAAAAAATGCAGGGATTAGTTTGGAGCAAAGTAGCCTTTTTGTAGGAATACATTGAACTTGAACTTGCGAGCATTGACTGCATGACTTTAGCTTTTGAGGGGAATCTATTCCAAAGCAAACCATAATAAAAATTGAGAAAAGACGCACACGCACACCTTACATCTTGAGTTTGGAAATTGAAATTGACAAGTGAAATGAATCACCAAAAAAAAAAAAGGAAACAATTCACCAGCTCTTATTAAAAACCTTCAGCGAGTCAGAACTTTGCTAAGTTTAACTAATAGTTTTATATATGAATTCTCTATATGCAATTGAGCTTTAATTAATACTTATCAGTTGAATATATAATTGAACCAAGATTTGAATTTTTATAAGAAGAAGTGTTAATATTTAATGTTTAATATCGTTTTAAATAACACTGCTTCTAATAATGAAAAACTTGTACGATTCTATAAAGAGAAAAAAGCAAGAAAAGAAAAGGGAAACGCATGAAAAGGTTTTGGGTTGAGGGGTGTTTTTAACAATAATGGAGGAGGAATAGGTGGCAAGCATGAAAGAGACTGGAAAACGGGCAAGTGTTGTCGATGCTTTGGGCAACACAGATGCAGAAGATAAGTGAGCGTCCTTTTTTCTGGCGGGCGTCAAGGCCATCTGGTACACATGAAAAAGCTAACACCCTCTCTCCATAAAAGCCTCTTCTCACGCTTCCCTCTTCAATATCCTCACCATCACCAACATGTGTCATGTAATCACGCCAAGCCTCCAAAGTCCATACACCTCCTCCTTCCCATGAATTCAATATCTCGTTCGGTTGTCTGTATCTTTCTCGGTAGTTCACCAACAAAAACTGGTTCCCAAGTTGGATTTTTGGACAATTTCTACTGCCCTAATTGTGAGGAAGGAATTATGATTGAAAATAGATTTTTTTGGTTAAGTATGTTTGGTATGTGTGGGTCTTGATTCTCAAGAATTTAGATTCAAAGAAATTTTCTTGAATTGAATCCCACCATAATGATGATGAAACTGGTACAATTCTTTAAAATTATTTTTATTGTACCATTTTGCCCTCCATCTCAACCTCAATTTTAATTTTAGGAAAATGACACTTTAGTCTTTTCCTATTTTGAAAAAACATTTATTGATTAAGATTGTAATAGAATTTTATCTTCATATCAAATATATTTTAAAGATCTAATTCTATTTGGATTATGATTTCAATTCTAATTCTTATTTAAATTTCACAAAAAACTCTTTCATCATGCGTGCCAAATGAGACCTACATGTGGTAAGAGTGAGTGAGAGAGTGACACCAAATAATAAAAAAAAGAAAGTAACTGTGTATGAGATCGCTGACCTTACCATTATAGTCATTCACTTTTTCCTCCATTTTTTTTTTTCAAATATACAGGATATAATTCTCCCTAACAAACTATATTTATCCACTATTCTTACCTGCTCTGAATTCAAGCATGATCGGGGGAATTCGGGATATAATTCTTCCAAACATGATTTATTTTTATATACAATCCCATTTAAACTCTCAAGTTTTTTGTATGTAAATAATTTATGGGTTTTGAAACTAAATTCTATATATATATATATAAAGCTAACCTTTTCTGGACCAACATGTATAGAGGCGACTTGAAAGGTGCGAATCTCACCGACAACTCATTTTAGTTCGGCGGCTTTCTTTTCTTTCTCGTTCAAGAACAATTCCTTCCGTTTCTTTTTTGCATGGATGTTGGGTTTTGGGCCTAAATTGAAAACATAGGCTCCATTACTTAAATGGGCCTCGTAGTTCACACATTGCACAAAGCACATTTCGCTTATGATCTGAAGTTATCTATCTTACAATGATCATAATCATCTGTACAAACATGAATATCAATATTAACATGAAATAAGATTCACATATACAGAGCCAAACTATCTATAAATCATGGATAGTCACGCTCTTCTCGTATTTTTATTTAATTCCTCTATAACAAATCGTTCTTTCCATATTAAATCGGGGATCGGGTACTTATGTTTTCTTTTTGGTATATGGTACAATATTTGAAAAACACGATGAAATATTTTATGTTAATCACCAAAGAATAGTCCAATTGATATGAATACTGATGAATTGATTGAGTAAGCATTTGCAGATATCTTCTTAATGGTCCTCCGAACATTCAGTTTAGTAACATGGAAAAAAAGACTAGGGAACATAAAGTGGTCCAAAGGTACAAGGGACCAAGCAAAACATAACATTCTCGCATAGGAGGGAAGAGAGAGTTATAAAACCAAGGAATGGACAAGTCAAACGAGGAAGAAACCCTTTTTGTCTTGTTTCATATAATTCATGGAAGCCCTTGAGGTACCAGCAAGCACATGATATTTCAAAAATCGGTGCTTGACTTATCAAGTTTAATGTTCGGGGAACGAGCTGGAAAGTGGAAACTTCGTATATATTCCTAATTTCTACGACGCATCTCTCATGTTGCTACCCATACGTAGCACCTGGTCAAACGTGCACTTCCATCCCAGGTACCTTTTTTATTTTGTTCCTTTTTAATTTTAAAATTTTCCCGATGTTCTGACTCAATTGTCATGTAAGTTGGACTTGGATCTAATATTTTGCCCAGATGGTGGGCGTTGCACAATATAGCTTAAAGTACTATATGTAAACTAAGTCATTCGGGTAAGAGATTTAAATCACAAGGTTCATCAACAACTTAGCAAAGGGAATTCATAACTACTCTAGTTGTCAATCCTTTTTGCTAAGTTGTCAATATATTTTATAATATTTAAGTGTGTTTTTGGGACAATGCATGTAATTCTCCCAGATAAGTTGCACATGCAAAAATTAAAAAGAATATATAAAATTTGATATATCTAATTAAATGGCTTAAATTATTTTTGTAAAATAAATTATCCTTAAACATATTTAATATAAAAAATCTAACAAACACACATCACATGTTGACTCATATGAAAGGAGGGTCCTTTAATTATCAACTCTTTATTTTGATCCTTAGAGTGATGAAAATGATGATGATGTATTTGGGGATCAACTTATTATTTGAAGTTTGATTCGACTCGAATTTGGATAAGTAGTTATCATATTTGGATACCAGAAGTTAATACTAAAAATAAAAAACACAAGACATAGGTACATAAAAAATTAGTTGGTAAAAAAAAAAAGATATATCAAGAATTAAAACCCTTGTATAATACCTTAAAATAATGTATGAAGTTGCATATATCTATTTCTTGAATGGACCTGGCTTCTCTAAGACGACTGCATCATTAAATTTAATGTGGTTATAAGTTGATCATATAATGCCATAATAATATAATACTTGTCTTGGAAGGAGATACGTTTACTTTTTAGTAGTCAACAGGACATCTTTTTCTTTGAGAGGAGAAAGTATTTTTATAGTTATTATATATTTTATAGTATAATAGATTAATTATGAATAGCCCTAACATCCCACATGCGTGATGCCAAATATAATGTTAATTAAAACGATTAAAAGTTTATGCCTTGTTCAACTCCATTCCCTGCGGAATCTATTCCTTCCCGTAAGAGCTTGCAAAGGTTCAGACAATATTATCCTGGCTAGGGCGATTCCTTCATTCTAAACATCATCCTAACAGGATTATCAATTATTTAACTATTGATTATAATTTCTATGCTAGTCATCATCTTCAACATTATGAGATCTACTTTGTATCTTAGTCACTGCTATTATTATTCATCTTATCTGCCTCTCATTGTTTGATATGAAATGACAGCGAAACTTTACCTGACATTTTCTTGCTTTTTGAAAATTGCCAGTGCAAGGGTGAGTGAGAAAATCAACGTAAAAAATGAATTAAATAAATCATGAATTAAGCCACAAATCCAATATTTTAAGTCTAAGCGTTACTTAAGGGTCTAATTTAGTATATTCTTCTCTTAGAAAAAGAAAAGAAATTCGCAGAAGTAGAAGAAAATAACTTTATACCTTGTTCTTTATTTTTTTGGGACTGAGACTTTATACCTTGCGAAGCAAAAGAAGAAAAGAGCATTTACAAGAAAATGAAGAAGAAGAAGAAGAAATAGGGGGACCCACTTGCCCATTAACACTCGATTACAGATCATTACTCCCAATAATTAAACATGTAAAGAAGGTGGGCCATCGTTTTTTCAACTCTTTTCATACCGCTTTCACATCCTTCGTGTGTAGCCATCTCAACTAGCCACCCTCCAGGACCATGGCTTTCACATGATCCCACGCCAAGTAGCCCGATAATAAATGCACAAAAATCTTCGGAAGGAACGTTAATTATTAATTTAATTAATCAAATTAAACAAACCAACGTGCAATTTCAATTTTAAAGAAAGAAATTGATGATTAAAATGAAATTGGCTTTGCAGCATCGGCGGGCAAGCTCGCAACTGCAATGGAGTAATAAACACAAGCGTACATTCTAGTTTATTCTTTCTCAACCCCTTCTTCACTTTCTTTCTCTCGCTCCTTGCAAGCTATAGTTCTATATATCCTTCTTTTCTTTCTTCCGTGTCCTCTTTATGTGATATTCTTGTTCCATATAAAAAATTTCCGGAGAGGCGTTTGCAGCTCGCATTCACCGACTGTATTCCAAGGAAAAACGCGGTTTGGTTTCTCTGTGGGGTCATTTCTTTCAGGTTTTGCAACTAACCCCCCCTCTCTCTTTCGATGTCGGTGTATACTGGGTTTAGTCAATAGCGGCGGTGAGCGCTGCGGTGGATTTTTTTGTTGTTTGATGGCAAGATATCAAGGAATAATTGAAGTTTCTGTATTCCAATGCATTCACGATTCGTCGAAGCTTTCTCGCTAGGCGTTTGACTGATACTGGTTTTAGCATTTACTGATGAATCTGAAATTTGCATTTTTCTGACGGGTGTCTGTTCTCTTTGCACATAGGCTGGTTTGTTTGATGGCTGGTTTGTTTGATTATTGTAGTTAGGTAGAAGCTGGGTAGGATGCTAGAGATTAAAATACTGAAATAGTTGATCTTCTTCCGGGGACATCTTATTTGCTTCACGTCTCCATCCTCTTCCCCTGCTCTAGATTAGCTTTTTCTTATTAGCCTGCCCTTGATGATTGATGAGATATTGGCAGTTCAATATGCCTTTTAAACGTTGAATTTATAGAATTTCTCTCTCTCTCTCTCTCTCTCTCTACAGCAGTATGCAAAAACATTTGTCCAGTTAATTTATTTGTTGATACTTTAGAGTGAGTAGCGTAATGGTTTGTCCTGTCTTGGTGTATTATCTTTTTAACAATTTCGAAATTCACACATAGCAAACTTGTTAGACGGGTGTAAAGATTCTGGTTTTAGACAAGCCTATCGGCAGTTTAAGGCGGTCCAATCACAATACTATTCTGAGAGGTCTTCGAGAAAACTCCAATACAACAAAAAGGTTTTCATCTTGTGAAAAACCAATTCGATTGTCTCCAATCCAGTTGTACAGTCCACTTTGTAGGCTTTACTAAGTAGTCAAGAAGACTATATTCTGTTTAGGTATGAGATTCAGCCTAAAGATGGGAAGAACATCTTATATCCCCAACTTTTAGTTGAAAGTCAATAACTGCTGCATCGTCACTAGTCAAGTGTCGATTGCCTTGGGGTTATCTTCCTTTGACTAGTTCTATGCTCTACACACTTCCCAGTAATATATGTAGAACTGGCTAGTGCAATTATGTACATTTGTTTTTCCTGATATTCTGTAGATCTTAGTAAAAAAATACACAATTAGTTTTGCTTCAATTTGTGTTTTTTTTTTTTTGGGTGTTCTACAGAAACAAACTACATGATTCTGCAAAATATCTAATGGAAGAAAAGCAGTTAGATTTTAATCAGCCGCTTTTATCTGTAAGGCGATTCTCGTCGACAGTTGCCTCTGGAAAGGACAATAAAAGGAAAACTGAAAAATCATCAGCTAGATTACCTCCTCTTCCTGCTTACAAGTCAGAGTTGAAGTCGGGTCCGGTGAGGAATCCTGGAACAGTTCCTTTTGTATGGGAGCAGACTCCTGGAAGACCCAAAGATGAAAACAAATCACACACTCAGGTTGGTGGACCATCTTACATTCCTATCACTCCCAATCTTCCACCTGGGAGGGTTTTGAAAGCTAAACACAGAGATTCTGATAAGGCTTCGAGAGACACATCAGTTACTCAGTCTAGAAAAGGAAGCTCTGTATCCAATTCTACAAGTGTCAAATCTATTAACAATGATGTGTCCACTTTTCAGTGTGTCACATCTGATGTAACAAAACGTGAGAGCCCGAAAGAGGCAATCCGAGAAAAGGCTTGTTCTGTTTCAGATGATGGAGATGAGGCCTATCAAGATGCACTTGATACTCTTTCTAGAACTGAATCATTCTTCATGAACTGTAGTGTCAGTGGCTTGAGCGGATTGGATGAGCAAGAGGCCCATCTATCTCGAAGTATCTCACAAGATCAATTTTCTCGTCACTTCATGATTGATCGGTTCTTACCTGCAGCACAGGCAGTGGCTTCTGAAACTCCTCAATATGCCTTCAAGAAGCTACCTGTTGCACGAGAACAACCAAGGCAGGTGAGGAAGGTAATGGATGGAGAAAGACGCCATACAGTAAATCAGCACTGGCCAAATAATTTGCCACCCTATGCCCAAGAACTATGTAAGGAAGAAAGTGAAGATGAAGATGACCTGTACAGTGAATTTGGGGACAACACGGGCAAAATTTGTGGGCTATTTCCGTCTTTCTGCCTTTTGAATCCAATACCTGGTTTGAGAATGCAGGATAGGATGCTAAATTCACCAGTTCACAAGACGCACGCTAGATTAAGTGCTCCTCATAGTGAAACTGAAAAAACGGTATTAATTTGTCTCTACTTACTTTTCTTTCTATCAACTTTCATTCATGTCAGGTGATCTCATGATCTCTTCTCTTGTTCAGCGGAATGCAAGAACTGCTTACTATGAGAAAAAGTGGGCAGATTCCAAGACTGGTTCTACAGAAGAGAAATATTCTATGGGCATTCCTCGAAAGTCTGCAAATGACATTGATCAACATCGAAGGGGTTGCAGCACATTACCACTCTCTGAGGGAACCCAATGTGATACTGGTTGCACAAGCCCGGTTGTTGAGAAAACCCTGTATGTGGATTCTGTACAGAAGGTTAAATCTTATTCAGGTTTAAATGCTTCTGAAATGAAGGTTCAGACCAATCACCAAAGGGATGATTTTGAGATTTCCAGAAAAGATGGCAAGCTTTTGACTGTTGAGGATAAGAAGGCAACATCACCACCTAAAGGTTTGGAATCTCTTGATTCATCTCTCATCCCATGTTCTGATAGATCTATTAATGATATGCAAATGGGAAAGACAGATCTTTCTAATAAGCTGGTCAACCAAGGAAGAGACTTACCTCACAATTCAAGTCCAAAAGCGGGTGAATGTGACAAAATGAATTCAACTAGCGATCAAGAAAGTCTCAATGGCCGAATTCAGACTTCTATATCATGTAGAAAAGTCAAATTGGCCGGTGATGTGGAAGTTGAGTCAGAGAGACAAAAAGCTGCAAAATCTGTTGACCAAGTTCTGAATCAAGATTTCAGTACATTGGCTAGCCCAAGAGTGGTTGGCGATGGTAAGATTGACTCAAAAAGCCCTAGACTAATGAAACTAAGAGATCAAGGAGACTCAGATATACAGAATTTGCAGCTTGCTCTTGCCCTTCCCTTACCCAAAGCTCCTTCAGATTCTTGGCTTAACCGTACCTTACCGATCATTTCCTCGAGGAACATATCATTGCGGTCTTCTCCTGTTGCCCACATTCATGGACGAGGACAAAGTCCCAAGACAGCATTGCTTGGTCCCAAGTGGGAAACAATTGTGAAATCATCTAAACTACATCATGGGCATTTGCGATTCTCTGAGGTAATTAATTCAATAACTTGGGCACTACTGTGTAACTACTAACTACTGTTGAGGAAATTTCGTGCTTATTTTTATTTACTTTTTTCCAGGAATTGTTGGCTCCCGTTCCTGAAGCTTGAACTTGTATGAAGAGAAGGCCGCAGATTATTTCAATTGCTCGCTGAAATGGGCAGTTTCTTTGGGTGTTTTAAAGGTTTTTTTTTTTTTTTTTGGGTATAATTCTTTTGATCTTTTCGTTCTACATAGCTGAACTCGCTTTCGCTGCTATATAACTATGCAGTATACAGAGATGGTATATAAGTGAAACTGTAAATCACAGCCTTGTTTCAAACTGTCAATGTAATAAGGTGTTTCAAGTAATAAATTTCTTGTACGCCACATGAGCTTTATGGTTACATTTATGTGTTATGTATATGCATCAAGCTGAAGGTGTTTTACCCAATCCAAATTTAAAGGAATCTAGTGAGGGAAGAACTAGGTCCCTTATTTTGATTTCTCATGGCTCATGCCTCAGTGAGCCATCAGGAATTGCTTAGCAAAGGAAGTACAAGGTCCCCTGTTCTAATTTCTCACAGCCTAGGAAAGCTGTGGATGACTGGATGTTAATAATTAATAGTTTTATTTAATAACTTTATTATTATTTGATTTTGTTATTTATAATAAATTGAAATTATATAATTATATTATAGAAGTATAAGCATAGAATCTATCCTTGCGTTTTAATTTATGATTATGTTATATATTTCTATTTTATTTATTATTAGTCTACTAAAATAAAAAATAATTAATTAAAAATAAAAATTGTATTCATTCTTAGCTTTCAATTGATCTTTCTGCTTGAAATATTTTATCAGATCCTGCATATTTTACAGATATATAAATATATAGATATAAATTAACATGTAACAAAATATAAATAGATTACTACTTCCTCCGGTCTTATATATAAGTCATATTTTAAAAAATCTATTTGATTCTATTTATAAGTTACGATATGACTTTTTAAATAATATTTAAAATGTATTTTTAAAATTACCATTTAAGAAAGATAAAAAGTAATATAACAATTAACATGATTTTATAAATTTATTATATAAGAATATATTATATTTTTTTATGTTAATATTAATGATATTAATATAAATAACTTATAAAGGGAGCTGGAGAAGTATTTCATACCAAAAAAATAGATATGGATAACTTTCAAGTTTCATCACCCTATCAAGACATTGATTATCTTTAGGTTTTCAGAAGTCAGAAATTCTAACCTGCTCACAACCGATCGTTATATTCCACGTCTCGCAAGCCATTATGTCACATGAAAGAAACTATTATGTTTTTTAAACTTGATTATGTGCCACTTATTGGTCAATTTATTTTAAAAAATTTACATGGGAGAGCATGAGGAGGGATTCTAAATTTCCTGCCATTCACATCTCAAGCTGTTAGAAATATATAAAATAATACGTGAATCTTATTGATAGGTAATTTGTGAGTATTAAGTATTTTTTGAGTTTAGAAACATATTTTAATCTTGGCAAGTTCTTAGTACCCAACTTACTTAAATTTCTTTCTTATAAAAAAATGATAGACAATGTTCTTTCAGGATATAATAAAATGCTTAGAATTTATTTTGAGCAGAAGGAATTTATGGATTAAAGAGACAGAAAAGGGCCGTCTCATTTCCTACGTGTTAAAAAAAAAAGGTAAGGTATTTTTACTTTTTTAACATGTAATTAATGAGTTTTTTCTAAAAAAGTATTGATAAATAAATTATTCAATCCTTCACTTGTAGTCTTTAAATGAGATATCTTGTTAAATAAAAATAAAGGTGAAAATATGATATTCCTTTAAAGATAATTAATTAGTTTATTGAAGTGTAATTTAATTAAACATGTCTTATATTTTTAAATGGATAAAGTATAGTGGTAAATTAAATAAATACTGTAAAATGTTTGAAGATGAAATTAAGGCTACTCGCTCTTTATATAATCTTGTCTTGTTTATCCATTTGACCATTTCTATAAAGCATTAATAATGACAAAGTTCTTTGTACATGTAGTCACTCTAGATTTACCATCTCACAAGACAAATTATGAGACTAAGTAAGATGCAGTTGTGCGCAGTGGTAGTTAATAGTTATCAATAATAAATCTTTTTTTTTTTCATATACAAGAGATATGATAAAACCGTGTGAGAAAAAAATTAGTTAATTAACAATATTATAATATAATATAATTAAGACTCGTAACACAAGTGAATAAAGTCAATATAGGTCTTTGGCAAAAAAAAAAGTCACTATAAATTACTTAAAGCACCTATGAGTTGTGATCTATTCATGTAATTATTGTTCAATCAGAAGAGAAGTATTTAGGTAAGTCGGGTGTGCCATATCATTTGTAATCTATCCAATTAAATCAATTAAAATGTTTCAAGTAATTTAAGTAAAATCTTGTGTGACATTTTTTTAATTAATTTTATTCTTATAATAGATTGTATATTTGATTTCTTGCTATTTCTCTCTCTATCATCATTAATATCAAAATTAATTTATATCTAATGATATCTAAATGTCATGTCTTTATTAGATAAATTATAAATGACATGGTACACCTGATCTATTTAAGAATTTTTCTCAATTAGAATATTTCAACTCCAACCATGAAGCCAAAATTATATCCCAGATTTTATGTATTTTTTACCTTAATAATTATTGAGATATCTTTCCCATGTGATGCATAGAAGAGAAAATAACTTGAAAGTTTCTGAAAAATATATTGTCAACATTTAAACTGCATCAAAAGAGGCGTGAAAACACTAAACGGGGGCAAAAAAATCGAAGTTACATGGGTTCCAATATGGGTGGAGAAATATTAAAAAAAAATGGTTTGCAGTGAATTTTACAGCTTTAAATTTTATATTGAAGTATTGGGCAAAAGATATGTAATAGCCTTAAATAATATATATATATATATATATACTTATTTAATTAATTATATGAATATATTTTAGTTATGTTTGGGATAATTATAACAATAAGGAGTACTGGTAGAATGAAAGTACGTATGCCAAGCAACCTGAAGGTTTTCGGTTCGAATCCCTGATGCAATAAAAGGGAATTTTATCTTGTTCAGCTTCTCCGAAATTATGAAATTACCCTTTTTCAAATATGATAAAAGCTTCCTTCTCTTCTTCCTCAACCATTCCAGAAAAATAGAGAGAGAGCGAGAGTATGAAAATATGACTGACTTAACCTTCTTATACCTCTGACCCTTTTCTTGTTGCAGTGATCGTCGACTCGTCGCCCTTTTGTGTTCGTGGTGGTGGCTGGTGCGATTGAAGCTGTAATTGTTCTGGTTCATTTCCCCTACATTCCCTGTCTTTATAGTCATTCTCTGTTCCATTTTTGGCTGTCTTCATTGGGTTCAGTCGTTGCTCGATTTCTGTCGTCTGTTCGGGTTGCTACTGGCATGAGGCTAAATCGTTGGAGTTAGAGGTTCTACTCACGAGCCTTTCTTTTCTCAGCTGAACTGTAAGCATTGTGCTCTACTGCACTGGTCTGTGCTCCCTGTTTTCTGCATTTTCTCTGTATGCTGTCCGTCTGTGTCATTTTAGGCTGAGAAGTCGTAAAGTATTGAGTGCTGGAAGGTTGTTGCTATGAGCTTGTGTTTGTGCGGCTGAATCAGTTCCATTGTTAGATATGGTGATAACGTTTAGATTATAGCTTCCCCTGTTCAGCGTTCAAGAGCACATCTGTTTCTTCTTTCTCTCGGTTCACACTATTTAGGCTGGCTGAGTTGAGGTGAGGGAATTTGGACCTTCTATTTGTTAGCATGTTATATGTGTGAGAGAAAGTGTGCTATTGCTGCCATATGCGTGAAGTTACAACATTTTTTTTGCTTTGTTCTGCTGCTGTTCGTACGTGTGTCAAGAAGATGAGTAAAAAATAAAAAAATAAAATAATAAAATAATGAAAATGAAATTTAGCTTAAAATTTTGAGGTAGGAAACTATGTTAAAGAAGCCTGATAATAATATGTATGTGAGTGGTATAGAATTTAGATCTTAGTTGGATTGATTCATGTTAAAGAACTTATTAAGGAAAGATTGAAAGAGGATAGTCTTGATATATTACTTGAATCTTAATTTCATAGAGATGCCTACGGAAGTGCTTGAGAAAATTTTAAAGCATGAATTTTGGTGATGAATTTCAAATAATAATAGTTGATATATGCAAAGTAGAAGAAAGTCTTTGTAAATTAAAAATGATTTATTAAATTTTGTTTAACAATATCCTTATCGGACGTGCGGAAGAAGAGGATCCTAATAGAAATTGAAGAAAGAATATTTCAGGAATTTAGAACTTTAACAAGTAAGTGAATAGCATTCCTTATAATTATTTATTGAAAATCTTTTATTGAAATATTTTATTTTTATGAATTATGTTAGTTTTAAAAATTTTGAAATAATGATGAAGGATAGTTACATTATGATTTTGCATTTTCTCAAGAAATATATTTCTAATATTGATGAAGGCACCTTTGCTTATTGAATTTTAAAATTTCTTGGTTACATGATTAGTGCAAGTTTGTACATTCATTATGATGTATCGATTTGGCAAGTTTCATATATTTGAAGCAATTCATGCGAGTTTGATCTTGAAAATGAAAATTTGACTTCAAAAATAATTATTTCTCTCGCTTGTTTGAAACAAGATTTCTAAGAGAACTCTAGACAGAATATTATTGCTAACGGTAGTTCCGTTAGCCTGTAGCGCATTGTGATTAAACACTAGCTAGTTTATTTCATGAGTTTTACTCTCACGTTTGGTATTTGTGGGCTTTATACCCACATTTGATTCCGTGGCCTGAGCCGCGTTTGGTTACTTACCCTCGTAGGCTGTGTGTCCACATTTGTTTCGTAGCTTCGGCTGCGTTTGGTTACTTACTCTCGTAGACTGGTGTGTCCACGTTTGTTTTTATAGCATAAGCCGCGTTTGGTTATTTACTCTCATGAACTATGTGTCCACGTTTGTAACTTGTTCTATTGAGTTCTTAAGATCTTAAATGTTGATTAATATGTATTTTCAAAATTTACATGATTTTGGCTTGCAAATTGTACCACTTGAGTTATAATTGAGTAGAATATTTTCTTTAAGTAAGATAATATAAATTATTTTCAATTTACTCTTATTTTACAAACATGGTTAAGACTTGCATGCTCAAAATTTTTGGTGGAATTACTTTTAATTAGTTGACACTATTATTAGATATTGTTGATTTAAATTTTAAAAATTTTAATATGAGAATGCTATTCACTGAAAAATTATTTTGATCTCAGATTTGTTAGCCGACACTAATCTCACCATCGACCTCTAAAAGGCAACTAGTTGCAAT